CATGATACAGGAACAACTCCAAACAAAAGCCCAAGAAGGTATAAAAACCCACTCCCTACTACATGTGCTCTCTTTTTTTCCAGAGCCATCTTTCTGTCTGGCTCTCCTCTTCAATAAACTACAACCTTCTTTCTAAAGCAGTCACCATGTTGCTTATTCCCGGCTTGGACTGGACCCTGATGAAGATTTTTCCTTCAACAGCCCCATTTGTGATTTTTCTTCCCAGGCAAAGCCCATCTCAGAATTTAACTGATCAGACTTCAGGACATCTGGCCAATCAATGTACGTTTGATTAAACTTGCATTTACTCTAACTTAGCTCTGTCATACTGAGATTATCTGGAGAGCTAAAGATGAGCTGAATTGGGGTGATCAAATGTCCACTGAATTAATCCCATTAGGGTCAACCCGTTTGTCTTTTCTTCCTTCCTTATCATAAAAAGGAAGGCTCCAAGTTTTCCACTTTTGTTCAAAGCCGAGAAAAATGATGACCAGGTTTGGACAGGCTAGGATATTTTTTTTAAAAAAAATGGTCCGAAGTTGAATCCTTGCAAAGCTAGTAATTAGATTTCCTTGACTCAGATGGAATTGAAAAATAAACTTAATAAAAGATCATTGCAGCTTGAGCGAAGGGCATCCCTGAGCTGAGAAAATCATTTAGAACCATGGGGGGATTACCCAAACTCTAATTTTATTGTTGACTTATCATTTAATATTTGCTGTTTTCAGCCAATGATTTTTGTCTCCTTCCCCACTTTAAGTGCCCTCTGCCCTTCCCATCCAGAAGGTTAACTGATAAATTCACATTTAACATGTCTCTCTAATTTTTCAAATTATGTTTTTCTTTGCCTCCCATCCCTTCCCCTCTTTTTCTCTTGTAAATGTAATTATATTGGCTCCATCTTGTGGCCAAATAAAAGATAGATCTTTAGCTACCGTATCATAAATACGTGCAAGAGGACCATACTCAGTGGTGGGATTCAAATAGGTGAACAACCGGTTCTCTGTGTGAATGCCGCTTCCGGAAAGTCCATTCTGGGCCTGGGCAACAAAAATTAGCTACCGGTTCTGCCGAAGTGGTGCGAACTGGCTGGATCCCACCACAGGAAGGAAGGAAGGAAGGAAGGAAGGAAGGAAGGAAGGAAGGAAGGAAGGAAGGAAGGAAGGAAGGAGTGGTGGGATTCAAATATGTGAATAACTGGTTCTCTGTGTGGATGCCGCTTCCAGAAGTCCATTCTGGGCCCGGGCAACAAAAAATTAGCTACCGGTTCTGCCGAAGTGGTGCGAACTAGCTAAATCCCACCACAGGAAGGAAGAAAGGAAGGAAGGAAGGAAGGAAGGAAGGAAGGAAGGAAGGAAGGAAGG